CGATAAGCTTCCTTTTGAATTCTTCCTTTTGTAATAAGAAAGAAACGTACATTCTATTGTCATTCAGGTTGTAGTAATTGAAAAATTAAAAAAGGCAGTCTGGTGCACTAAGCTCCCGCTATGCGCAGGGTCCGAAAAAGGGTCAAACCACAAGGGTTTATTGTATGCAGCTTTACCGTGAATTTCTCCAAGAGGCTGTCTCCACGGCTTGAACCTGTGACCTCCTGGTCACATAACAACGATTTTACCAGTTACGCCAAGGCTCTCCTTCTCATATTGTAGTAATTGGTTTGATAATATATATATTAGTCATGTAAAGCTTTCTTTGTTTTCTTTTGATATTTCATTGTCTAACTATTTGATAAAGTTTTACCAAATCCTGACTTGCCATCCATACTTTAGTTTCAATGTGTGGCATTCTGTAACCACATATGTGACTGTGTCTGTGATGGTTATAATCGTTAGGCGCCCCTTTGGATAGTATATGAGTAACTATGTAATTAAAAATGCCAATTTATTATATGGATAAATAAAAGAAGAAGAAAATAAGAACAACAGTTAACAATGCATAATTTTAGATGCCTATATTTCAAATAACAAGACAAGTGCTTGCGCAACCATAACAACGATCCCAACGTTATTTATTGAATCCATTGTTAAGAAAATAATATATGATCATAAAAACATACATAAAAAGGGTTTGTGCAATTTAAGAAGAAACGTGTTTTTATATTAGGATTCTAAAAAACAATTACTTAAGCGGGATTTAAGCAAGGAACTTGGACCCCCTATGTAGTTCCAAGTGTAAGTACGGAATATTATTTATTTCTCATTAATGTTCAGTCTTCCACAGAACTAGACTAAAACTCCATTGTTAAAGACAAGAACAGGCGATGATGGCTAAGCATCCCCGTTAAGTATCCTAGTAATCAAGAACTGAGGACAAGTAAGAAATATTGTAAGCATTTTCCTATTTTTTCTTTTTCAAAAAAGGTTTAACCTCTATATACGAATTTTATAAGAGAATTTTTACATTATAAATGTAATTATAAAATTGCTCACAATAAATGGAACTAGCTAATTACCTCAGACAACTTGCTACAACATAATTATATAATACCTTTTTTTTATCAACAATATTAGATTATCAGTGTGTGCATTAAATTCTTATTAAGAACTACTACTCGATCCATACAAATAAAAAGGGGGTATATGGGAAATCTCGTCTATTAAGCTTCGATGTTAGTTATGTCAGCGTATAACTAGGGCATATGTGAATTTTGTCACAAGTCTTAACAAGATTTTTCACAACAAAACTACTGAGAATAAATAAATTGAAGAGCTGTTTTTGTTTATTAATCAGAGAGAGGAAGTCAGTCCAAAATTGGACATCCTAGTCAACACTCAAAGACACAAAAGAGGAGACGATTCTTTCTATGATGGTATCTCTTAGGTTTGTCTGTTTAATTTGTCCTGATTTTCTTACCATATTTGATTTACCTATTTCTCGAAAGAAAGGGTAACACATTTACTATAATTGAGTTCTTTTTCTTGTAGAAGAAAATTATAAATCTCACATATTTGGCTAGTCTATTTTCTTGCAGGGAAATGTTTGGAATTCTATAAATTGGGATCCCTCCTTCTCATTCAGTATCATCCACAATGTAGGTTTGAGAGTCGTGTTTAGGGGGAGAACTTTACGGGACAGGTGTTAGTGTGTCACTTGTGTTGCCTCTTCGTGAGGTTGTTCTCTCGATATTTTGTATTCTCTTTTATTATAGTGAATTGCCCATCTCCGTGTGGACGTAGGTCAGTTAACCGAACCACGTTAAATATTTGTATTTTATATATATATATATATATATCTTTTGTTGTATAATTTATCGTTGTTCAAGGTTTGCTTTACTAACTTCTGCATAACACCTGATTATTTTGGTCCTAACATACTTTCATGTCCTATATCCTTTGAACATGGAAGACCCAACCCCTTTTTAGTGCCTTCGCTTTGTTGAAGATGCATTATGTACATATATACCACTAGAGCCGTCATATTGGTTTGGCCCGTTGGGCCGGGCCAGCCAAACTTAGCCCGTGATTTTGCAGGATTGTGCTAGAATTTTTGGAGCCCATTTAAAAACGAGGCTTTTAGGCCCAACCCGAGTAAGCCCGTGGCCCCTGAGGCTTGACTGAGGTTGGGCCGGTCCGGCCCATGGGCCTAAAAAAAATATATATTTAAAATATAAAAAGTATACTGCCTCTAGCGATGGAAAGTCAAAATTAGATCTTTACTTAGAAGAACCAAAGCTTGACCTTGAGAAGTTTCAAGAGATGAATGTTGTCATGTATTGGAAGGATCATTCTAAAAAAATATCTCGTTCTTTCAGTGATTGCGCGTGATGTACTTAGTATTTCTATTACCACTGTAGCATCCGAATCAACATTTAACATTGGTGGATATGTTCTTACAAAGTTCAGAAGTTGCATTAGTCATGAAAATGTCCAACACTTGTTACTACTCAAATTGGCTGCACGGCTTTTCCCAAACTCAAATTGGTAATATTTTTTATATGAATTTAAATATTATTAGTTTTTAAAATTCTATTATTCTTAATATTTAACTAATTAATATTGCATATGAATTGTAGATGTAGATGAAAGTGAAGACGTTAAGACAATCTTGTCACAAGCGGATTCAAACGTGTTTGATGAAGATGATGTGTTGGATATCCCATAAGCGTCATGGATGTTCTCTTGAATAATTTATTTTGAGTTTTGACTTTTAGTGGTCTTTTACCTTTTTAGTGTTAATTGTGATATATTGGAACAATATAAAAATTTATTAAGTTTTGCAAAAAATTTCCAATAAGATATTTTTTAACTTTTGAATATTTATTTTAGGTTAGAACTTAAAGAAAATATAAAATAATATTTTAAAAAATGATGGGCCGACTCGTGGGGCCCGCGGCCCACATAAGGCTAGGGTGGGCTGACTATTATAAGATCCATCAAAATGGTGGGCTAGCCCAGCTCAACCCTTCAATTGCTAAAGCCCACATAGGCTGGACTAGACTAACCCGGTCCGATCCGGCCCATATAGACAGTTCTATATACCGCATGACTTGCCAATATTGAAATAGAGAACCTAGTTGATCTAGGGTGTGAAACCACTAGAGAGAAACCCACTTAAGTATTAGTATTAATTACAGAACGTAGTTGATCTAGGATGTGAAACCCATTTCAGGGTGGCCGAGTTGAATGAGCAGGGGATTTTCTCAAACGGGAGATCTAGGGTTCGAAACCCACTAGCATACCTCTTTAATCGGGCTTGTTGCACAGAGTTTGCCTAATAAACCTCATCTCCATAAAGGAGTCGAATGAAACCAAAGTTTCATGTTCGGTTTTGAATTTGAGACGTTAAAAATAATGAATCGACGTCGACTATAACCAGGGATGTTCATAAAAACCCGAAAAATCGAACCAAATCGAAAACCAAACCAAACCGACCAAAAAAATCGATACTTTTTGGTTTGGCTTGGTTTTTGTTTTGAATTTTATAAACCGATCAAATTTGGTTTGATCTTGATTTTAAACAAAAAATAACCGAACCAAACCGACCATAGGAGTAGTTATTTCAAATTCATTATTACACCTATATATATGTATATTTTTATACAAAGTTTCAAAATTTTTATGGTGAATGTTAATCGTTTGCACTTTTAGTACAGTTCTTTACCTTTATATTCTAGTTTGATTGGTAGTTTTCTTTTGTTAAGTGTAAGAATACATTTCATGTTAAAAAAAATATATTTTTAATTGAGTCCTTAAATTATTCATCACTATTTGATTCAATTATCATCAATATATTTTGGTAAATAATTGATTTCTCAAAAGGTAATTGATTTGATAGTGTTACGTAGAAAATATGGTCGCCGGAATATGTGTTTGGTAGTGTATGTCTTATATTTAAGAAAAAACCGACAAATAACCGAAAAAACCGAAAAACCGACAAAATCCGAATAAGCCGAATCGAGAAAAAACCGACTTAATTGGTTTTGGTTTGATTCTAATATTTGAAAAATCGACTTACTTAGTTTGGTTTCTTTTTAGTGAAAAACTGATCCAAACCGAACCATGAACATCCCTAACTATAACCCCTAGCCTTTACCTTCCTGTGTGATTTGCGAGCTATTATGCAGAAGGGAATTCTATTATGCCCATCCAAAGGACAGTAACTGCTAGTTCCCTTGTTAACAAAAAGCAAATACATCATAGTATCATGATACCAGACGTAATTAACATCTACCATAGATTTGTATAACTAGTTCTGAACTAAAAAGCTCTTGAATATTTTCATGACTTCTTATAGTTTAGTTTGTTTCGAAAAGAATGTATATTTTTATATTTAGTAATAAAATTTATATTTTTATTTTACTCTTACTGACACCCTCTTATAAGAATGAAATGAATGTTTAAAATCACATTTTAAAGGTTATTTTTGGTAAGATCACAAGAATTAAAAAATCTCTTTACATTGTTAAATTAAGAGAGATAAAATAAAACGAACGGAGCATTAAAAATCTTTCCTACCCTTTTACTCTGTTATTATGTAAAACAGAAAACAATAAGAAGACAAATAAGAAATGGAAAGGAAAGAGTGGTCCATTATAATCCATATCAGTGACACGTAATGTTTGGCTGGAATTACCTTTTCTTTAGGTGCAAGTTTGGCAGAAATTCCCCAACCCCTTCATTCATTTGAAATTTCTTAGTAATTAGCATCAGACTTCTCTTTGGAAGTTCACCAGCAATAACACTGACTTTAAAAAGGAACAAAAATTAAAAAAGGAGGGATGGAAAGAGCAATGCTTAGGTTACAGCTATACGTATTAATATTAAAATATATTAGTCCTTCTTGATTGAGAAACAATTAAAATATTTGAGTGCATTGGCCTGAAATTACCCTATAAATAGTTAGCTATCTCCATATAATTCTCAAGTCAAAGCTCCTCTCTTTCGTTGTACTCCCTTATATATATTCACACAATTCAATACACATATACAGCAAGACGCACCCACGCAAATTAGATTATATGTATAAGCGTCTTTTGAAACACTTTGTGCGAATTCAGAGCGGAAATCCAGCGTTTTCTGAACTCTCTCCCTCAATGGCTGCTCATATATAGCCATGCTTCTATTTCTTGCAGCTTAATCAAAGAACAGCCATGAGAGATTGAGTTCAGAAAACTCTTGCTTTCCTAGTTTTAAGTAGCAAAACACGGACAGGAAGCACACCAACTGCGTGCGTTGCATACCTTGATTGGGTGGATAATTGATCGGAAGATAACTTAGATTCACCCTATTAGTAGGCGGGCGGCATACTTATCTTTGCGCGACAATACTAGAAAGAGACTTGCTAGCCTTTTAGGCAGGGCAAAGGGAAAGTATAAGTTACGTGTTCGGACGAATCCAGTAGTTTTAAGCTTAGATCCTATTGTATTAGTAAATCCATTAAATATGTGTTAATATTCAATCGTGAACTAGTAACTATAACGAGCTATGGGTTCGACGGCAAGTTTAGGACCCATAAATTTTAAATTCTAGCTCCGTCTTTGCTTCTAGATGGGTAGTCGTATGTAACAACACTAGAAAGAAAGCAGCGCTGTCATATAACATGTCCGAGACACTGAATTGCTGATAAAAATAGTACTGACAAACGTCAGGCTAGAACTAAGCTACAGTTGCAAACTAATTCTTTTCTTTTTCGTCTTGGATTTCCCATTTCTTGATATTCTCCTAATTCTCATGCAGGCATATATAAAAGAATCAGAGGATCCTGTGGTATGGAAGGCGAAGAGAACTATATATGACAAGAACTCTCTCAAAAGACCTCGACAAATTCTAGCTATAACTTTCGGGTTGCCCACTTGGTTCGGAGGGCGGTCATCCGGGATCGATTCTTTCCCATGCCTTATGGGTTGAGCCTGTCGCACAGGCTTGCCTAGTGGGGTTTACATCTTTACATCTCCTGTGTGGTTTACAGGCTATTACAAGGGAGGTTTACCCAATGCGTACAAAGTGCTCACCCAAAAAGCAAAGGCTGTGACAAGGTTGTTCGGTTGCGAGTTTCCCTCTTGCCAAAAAAACTCAGCTATGCTACTAAAAGCTCCAAAGAGCGGCGTCTTACTCTGTATTCGTACTCCTACCCTTTTTCCACACAAGGATCAGATCGTCGCTCCGCTTCATTACCGGTAATCGCAAAAGGAAAAAAGAAAAAGGAAAACAAAATTAAAGAGCAAGGGGGGGTCAGTACTGATTTTCATGAATAAAAGTTTGACAGATTCGGTTGTTTTTATTCTCCTAACTAATTAAGTCGTTAACCAATCAACTAAACTTTTCTTCCCTTCAAAAATCCTATTTAATTTCTCGTGGTGTACTCTTGTATTTGATCTCATTATAAGCACGTGACTTATCCTATAAACAGTTTAAATATAACGAACGAGTCCTGTATTTTATTTTACGAAAACGACAGCATTTGATTTGATTTTATTTTTCATTTAGGAACCAACTGATTTCATATTTCTTCAAAATCTAAAGATAGTGACGGCCGACAGCAATTGTCATTTAAGATTAACTGATAGACTGCGACATGAAATGGGCTGGCCTTGATCCAAGAGGTAATGGAAGCCCATCTAAGATCAAGACCCCTGCCCTGCCCAAAACTAAGGCAAAATAGCACGATATAGTCAGTTTTCGGACTAGTCATTCAAAAATAGACAGCGTTTACCAAGTCAATGAAAAATAGTCACTATTTTGCTGCAACAGAGACCGGTCCAGCATAATATACTGGAGTTCGGTGCACCTGTGTATGAACTCCAGCATATTATGCTGGACCGGTATGCTTTGCTGGCTCCAGCATAATATACTGGAGACTGGAGCACCGGTATATTATTCTGGACCGGTATACTTGCTGGAACTCCAGTATATTATGCTAGAATTCTAGTGTACTTATGCTGGAACTCCATCATATTATGCTGGAGTTCCAGCATACTTATCGTGGAACTCCAGTATAATATGTTGGAGTTCAAATATACTTATACTGGAACTCCAGCATAATATACTGGCGTATTTTCCGCGTTTTGAACAGTGTTTTCGCTCGGATTTATCTTTACATGAAAAGTGGCTAAATTTCGATTACTTTTGAAGCTGGGCTATTTTTGAACGACCTGTTGTAAATCTGGCTATTTTTAAATTTCTCCCCAAAACTAAAGATAGTGACGGCCCAGGAATGTTATTTTGGAATTTTTACCTCCTATGTCAAAGGTTAACACCTTATTTATTTTAAATAAATATCATTTAAAAAAATTATATTCTATAGATACCTTTTAATGTTTATAGCAAAATATCTAATTTTGGTTACCTCCTACCCCTAAGCCACTAAATACGTTATTCAGTTACAATATTTTATTTCTCTCTCTACTTTGATACATGCGAGACTATTTCGATTTGCTGAACCCTAAACCTTTCCGTTGCAATTACAACTGCAGAAGAAATCCTTACGTCTCCTTGTTCACATAGTTATGGCGAAGAACAGAAACAAGAATAAGAAAAATGGTCGTGCGGCTATGGATGTCTCCTCTGACAAGCCGGTCACGGGTCCCCAAGCAGTGTTAGTAATTTCTGCAACCGAAATTGAATCCAAAGGAGATGAAGCCTCCGATCGACGGTGGCGTGGGAACAGTGAGATTCAGGGTTTTTGCTTGACGGCAGATTCGCCGGAAATTAGGGTTTGTTCTTGAACAAAGACGACGGAGTTTGGGGCTGAGCAACTTGTTTTTCTGTTAATATATTTCAATATTTTTTTTTCAACGTATCACATTGTATTTTCATGTATTTCATTGTATTAGTTGTCTTTTTTTCATTGTAATTCAATGTATCTCGCTGTATTCCATGTATTTCATTGTATTCACTGTCTTTTTTTTCATTGTATTTCAATGTATTCTATGTATTTCATTGTATTCACTGTATCGCTATGCCATGAATGTATTCATATATTTTTTTAATTAATATAATTTATGTATTCAGATGTATTATATAATTTCTCCGAATATTGCTATATTTTTGGGGTATTTTTCGGTTGAGAATCTTTTTTATAATCGAAAATATAAATTTCATGTGTTATAATTGAGTTTGTTGAGTTATATTAGGAGTATATTATGTTAATTGATTCACTATCCGTTTAAAAATAGTGTAATCCCCTGTTTCACGCCGTGAATACAGTCGAATACAATAATTTGTCCGGCTGTAATCCCATGTTTCACGCCATGAATACAGTCGAATACACTCGAATACAACAACTGATTAGCTGGACTTCCCTGATTCACGCCTATTTTTGCTACTGTATCATGAATACATTAGCTTAAATACATCTAATACATCTTATAACAACAGAAAACGTATCTACAATCCGTAATATAGCAAATAATATCTATAGATAGCTAATTACCACTAAAAGATAGTGCTTTATGAAAATTTCTCTTTAGAGATTAGCTAGTACTTTGAAATTTTAAACTAAGTGTGCGTTTGGACATAAGAATTGTAAAATTCTAAAAACAATTTTCAAGCGAAAATGGTATTTAAAAATTAGAGCTGTCTTTGAAGTTTTTCAAATTTTCGAAAAATTTCAAAATTTATCTTCAAGTGAAAATTGAAAATTTTATTGCCAAACACTGATTTATAAAATAAAATCCAGAGAAGAATAAACGAAACGAGGAGCCAACGTGAAAATGGAATAAAATGAAAAGAAAACAGAAAGCGGAATAAAATTAAAAAATAAATAAATCAAAAGATGCTTCATGTGTTACCCTCTTTTCTATTTTGCCTGTTCTCAAATTATGAGAAAAGAAAGGAGGAGAATGAAGATAGAAGTAGAAGAGGATAGAGGTAGCTGATTCTATTCATGCTCTGCAATTGAGAATTACATGTATTTGTACAAAAATTAGGGTTATGGGATCTGTAATCTCTCCTAACAAGTTGAACTACCTAACCAAGGAACCTAAGTTAGCTGAGATTGATTCCAAATGAAATACAAGCCAAATTTTTGTTCCTCAGTAATTTTATATAAAGGTATGATTTGCGTACGTATTTTACAGTAAAGGTGCTGACTGCTGATCGTGCTGGCTGCGCCTTTCTGGTCAAGGAATCCGAAATATTTAAAGGTAATTCTGAATCTGTCCAAGTATTTTTTGTCGTAACCAAGTCAACGACTCAATTAGTCAATGTTTTTTCAATTATTAAATGAATTTGGGAGTTTCTGTGCATAGGGATAGAAAGTGAAGATCCTCTAATTGGTGCCGTCAATCCAAAGAAAGGCATTGATACAGAGGAAAAACAGTTATATACTACGGAGTTTTGCCGATAAATCAAGTCCCATGGGCTATAATAACGTGGGGAGTGAAATGGGCGACGTGGGTTACCCACTTCCGGCACGTTCAGGTCGTCGGTTTTTGCCGTTGCCCATGTTCGTGGGGTTGTTTCTTGTGTTTACTTTGTTGCTAAATAGCAACTCAGTTTCTTCATACTCATCAGGAGGATACTGGGATTTTACCTGCAACAATTCCATAGATATGGTACGCTTTCCCTTATCCTATTTTCACTTTCTATGTCACTACTAGTATGTGTTATTAGATGCTACTACTACTAAGAATTCAGCAAATTTTTTGTTTATCTTGTTTAATTTCCATTTCTGGCCTATAACTTATGTGTTCTCGACGCAATATAATAGCTCTTATATGACAAATTACAAAATGTTATCTTAATGGGGATAATGAACTTAAGGTAAGATAAATTAAGAATTTCATCTCCAGCCTGTTATTGCGAAAGTTTCAATGCCAAAAGATGTTATCACTAGCAAAGTGGTCGACCCGGCTTGTAGGCCTCCTTTCGTCATCAAATTACATTGGTTTTTGGAACTATCATTTATAGAGCAGTTCGAGTTTATCGACTGTGCTGCTTTCTGTCTAATTGTCTGACCATTAATCAGGAAAGAGGGAAGTTGGGTCCTAAAAACCCTGGTGTATGCTCGGAGGAGGCCAAACATCTTCCAGTTTGTGAATGTGGATTCAAAATGTTGGACTCCTGCTTCTTGAGTAAGACTAAGGTACTGTTGTGACAGTGTAATTGTTCTGGTTATCCTTCTTACTCTGAATAAAATACAAAGTAAGACTATAATTGGCTGGACTTTTCATTCCTTTCAGATGCTTGAAATCGAAAAGGGAGCAAACGACTTTAACATACCTATAATCAGATCCAACCGAAAGTTAGTTGCCACTACTGATGGAGGTCTGCATAACCCTTCTTGTTTAGTCTTCAATTCTGCATGGAAGGTCCAACAACTAGAAAATGATCCAAACAAAAAGCTCAATTATCCGTCACCTGCTGCTGGTATAGAAAGACCAAAAAGTGATGAGGATATTGCATTCATGAGTGTAAGTGCTCCCTATTACTCCCTTTAAATCTATATATCAGGACTTACGCGCTCGAATATATGGTATTTTCCTTCTATTCACACATCTATGCTGTTATATCAGATTCTTGAACTTGGGCAACTTCTCAAGGCAAATCTAATCACATCAGTGCAGTTGACTGGAATTTTCTTGAAGAGACTGAAGAGGTGTTACAAATACTTTTCCTTCCAATTGTTTCATGTTACTGATATCTGGTCCTCATAATGATGCATTAACTGGGGTGTCGCAGGTATGGTCCTGTCCTTGAATCCATCATTACAATTACTGAAGAATTAGCATACAAACAAGCAAAAGAGGCTGATCAACTGCTTGCTGAAGGCAAATATTTGGGTAACAGCCTGCCAATTTCTCTGCACTAACCTCTTTCACGTATTTCCCATTTACCTTCATGATTTCTAATTTTCCATCAATCAATCTATGAACAACGCCTCAATTCCATTATGCCTCCATAACCATTCTGCTCTATTCAAAAGTTTTTGATTTTCTATATGAATTTTTATTTATAGTTATGCGGTAGGGGGATTTTGTGGGGAAGAGTCGAAATAGGAACTTCATTTTAAATTGTCGTAGATGACAGGGACCTGTACAACTGAAAAGAAAACATAGCATATGTTGTGAACCCGTGTGACTCAATATGGGATTATGGGCTAGAAGTATGCAACAAAGTTGATCCAGTTGGGAGTATTGGGCCTGGAGCTAAATTGAGAAGAGGCCCAATGACTAAACAGCCGAGCAGAATGCTAGGACATTATATTTGGGATTCAGGGGGAATACAGGGATGCGAATTATGTTAAGCTCGGCTCAAGTCTGTGCTTCTCATCTCCTCTTCTGAATCTGTATCTCATCCCCTTTCTTCTTAGCTTGTTGTTGTAGTTCCTTTTCTCATCTCATCTCTATTCAGTATTGTTTTCTATTGTTCTACGGACATTTGGTTATTGTGATTCCGTTTGGTGAGTTAATACAATCAATTGGTTCGGGTTTGTTATATTGGTGCTTTCATCCAGAGGTCTTTAATGGAGGACCAAATATTTCGAACTATCGATGATTCAATTAAGGTCATGAAGGATCTGTGGTCGAAGGATATCACTCAAATTCGTTCATTGTTACATAAGTTGGTTGAAAATCTGGCAACGAGTAAGCCTACTCCACTGGAATTCCCACGATTCAGTGGAGAGGATCCAGAGTTATGGATTTCTCAGGCTGAACGTTACTTTGACTTCTACGGTACATCAGAAAACAACAAATTATTACGCACGTCTATTTACCTAGAAGGTGAGGCATTGGAGTGGTTCTAATGGCTTCTCCGGGACAAGCAATTGACGGATTGGGAGCACTTTGTTGCAAAGGTGCGAATTCGTTTTCGTAAACAGTATCTAGAATCGCCGGAAGGTCACATGGCTACAATCAAGGATTATTCTACTGAAATTGAAGCTCATATGTTCAACAATATGTCACATAGATGTTGTTGTTCCAAGGTGTTTGCTACTGAGAGATTAGATGTAAAGCCCTTACTGATGTAATGGAATATGATTTAAACATTGCAACATTAGAGGAGGTCCAGGAGTTTGATGAAAGCTCTCACAGAAATGAGGTTAGTGCTTTATTACACAATCTACTAATGTCCTAGAAGATTTAGTTTCAGTGAGTGTCGATCCAGTTAAGGAATTCTCAACAGCATTCGAAGGCCAGGTGTTTGATAATTTTTCTCATGGAGCTGGGCAAACTTTTCAAGAGTTCTCACTTATGGCAGATGACTTTGAGATAATGGGCCCAGTTATTAGCAAAGGTCTGGAGTCGGAGAGTGAAGTTTGTGGGAATACTGATCTCATTCTCCCTGCCTGTAGACTTCCTTTTATCATTAGCAAGGGAGAAGGTAGTGTAGTTATATATGAAGATGACGAGCATTCTAGAATTGACGTGAGTAAGGCGTTTGATAATTTTTCTAACTATGCTGAGCAATTTTTGGTTGACAATGAAGCGGTCGAAACACTCTGGGATAGGAACGACCTCTTAATTTTGGGTGGAATCAGATTGGTGTATGAGCATATATCTATACACCTTCCATTTGATCCCGGTGAGTCTGTTCCTCCATCCATTATGTTCGAGAGTTTGAATATACATTTCTATATACCACACTACTTCCCTATTGCACTGTGTTCTGGTGTAGTTGGCCTCGATGGTACTATGGAGGGTGGTAAGCTGTATAATGACCTGTCCAGTTGCACAATGGATGTACAAGTTGTTCAACCTCGGCTGCCACGACCACTTCCAAAATCATATTTCTTGGCCTTACTATTGGATTTCTTGGCACAGGTTGCGCATTTTGTTGAATTACAAAGAAGCTCGACTTCTATGAGCTTGTCATAATTGGTGTGGATGATTCCAATACAATTGCTCGTCTTCGCGCTCCAAATTTAAGTAGTAAATCGCAACCGGCAGCAGCTGCACTTGTTGCCATATTACAGGAGTGGAGAGTCTTAAAATTAAGGAGTGGGTATAAGGTGAGGCTTCACGCTGTGCACTTTGCTGGTTACACATTTTATTATGTCATTAAAATGGTATAGTTGGTTGCACGTCATAGGTTGCATCTATGTTGCGCGGACTCTCCAAAATGATGTCATACCCGTGTCGGATCCTCCAAAAATGCACTACTTTTGGAGGATCCGACACGTATCCGGCAATATATTCGGAGAGTCAAAGCAACTGTAGGTTGCATCATGGCTTAGGTGATGCATTAGTGTATGTTATCCGCTTGAACAAGTGTATGGTTGCAGGGCAGGTTATCACTGAACTTAATTTGATAATGCTGGTAAATTTTACTATAAACCAAAAAGAACATGGTTGGTTGATAGCAGTTGCAATGGAGAAATTTGGTGAAGAGAAAGCCGCTAAAACTGTTTATTTGTACTCCAAGGTGGATAATTCTAGCTTCGACGAGTCCGACCATGTTAAGAAGCGTTGTTTGTCTTATATTTCACATGCTACTGGAGATCGTTTTGATCACAATAGTACTCTTGAGGGAATTCTTAGCTTTCAATTATCTGAGACTATTGCCTACATTATGGCGTATCATGTGACTATTTCATTTGATAGAGAGGGAGATGACTCTACCGATACCACGACGGTTTTCAATCGGCCAGTATTTTCGTTGGTGCAAGCTAGCCCTTTTGTTCTTATCCTTTCATCAGGAATCGATGCTGAAATAGAATGGCGTGAAAGGGGCGTTGCAACAAATGTTAGCCATATCCATGAGTTGCTATTAGAAAGTATAATAAATTTCCCTCATGTTGTTGAGATAGTTGGGACAGCCAATACTTTTAAGCTCAGAACCACGCCATTAAGCTTGACTGACATCATTAGGTGCTTTGTCCTTTTGGAAACATCTCAAAATACTACACAGCTTTGCCATGTTATCTTGAACAAAGTGGTTAATCTCCGGAAGCTAAGCAATATTAATGAAACCAAGTCTACACTACTCCAAGTTGCCAACCAAACTATGATATTGTTCCTAATGGTTTTTGCCTGTCGTAGCCATGGGGTTAGTTCTCGAAGTTTCCCTCTTGACTTGAACCTTGAGGACAAGATTCTTTTTGTGGGCGGGAGTATTGTTGTGAACCCGCGTGACTCAGTATGGGATTATGGGCCAGAAGTATGCAACAAAGTTGATCCGATTGGGAGTATTAGGCCTGGAGCTAAATTGAGAAGAGGCCCAATGACTAAACAGCCGAACAGAATGCTAGGACATTATATTTGGGATCCAGGGGGAATACAGGGATGCGAATTATGTTAAGCTTCGGCTCAAGTCTGTGCTTCTCATCTCCTCTTCTGAATCTGTATCTCATCCCCTTTTTTCTTAGCTTGTTGTTGTAGTTTCTTTTCTCATCTCATCTCTATTCAGTATTGTTTTCTATTGTTCTACAGACATTTGGTTATTGTAATTCCGTTTGGTGAGTTAATACAATCAATTGGTTTGGGTTTGTTATAGCATATATCGAACTTCGCCATAAAGGAAAAAAATCACAGCATATTAAGTACCATGGAAGAAAATGAATATATGTTTCTCAGCCACATCAAAATTAGACTCATAATCTGGGAAATTCTAAATCTTCAGGCCACAATGTTCTCCAGTTTCTTGGGACTGATCTTTTCTTGATGCTGTTAAGGTTTATCTTACCCTTCAAGCACTTAAGGTTGTTCATTTCCTAAGTTACCTGTTCCGGCCAGAGTAATCTTCCCATGCTTCCTTCACTTGTCTCTTATCACCTCATGCTCTTAATTGATTTTCCTTATTTCTTTTTTATTTAGAGAAACTTATTTAGGGTATGGCATAGGTAGCTTCTTGAAACAATATTCTTGGTACTTCTTTCTAATAATTGGAGAGTAATAGGAAAAATGTTTATTCCGATTTTGTTTGGTCTCTTTCCCTTGTGTCACTAGTAGCCTCAGGATTCATAACCTCTTCTTCCAATATTTTACTATCTAGCTTCTTTGTAGTTGCTAAAAGGGAATTACAAGTAAAACATCTTCTTTTCTATATAGGTCCTCTTCATGGTATTCCCTATGGTCTAAAGGACATCATAGCAGTACCCAACTATAAGACAACATGGGGTTCAACATCTTTTAAAGACCAAGTTCTTGATATTGAAGCTTGGGTCTATAAGAGGTATTAGCAAATCATGAAATCAATAACATATAAGTCCAGATCTAGAAGCCCACTCTATATTGTGCATGTATTTGTAATAATCTAGATATGGTTGATGCAGGCTGAAATCTGCCGGAGCAGTTCTTGTTGCAAAGTTAGTAACTGGTTCTTTAGCATATGATGATGTCTGGTTTGGTGGTAGAACAAGAAACCCGTGGAATATAAAGGAATATTCTACGGGTTCATCAGCAGGGCCTGCTTCTTGCACCTCAGCAGGTATCTTTGAGCTATTGAGCTTTCCCTGATTAGATTCTGATTGAGCCGTCCTGTCTTCTATATTTGCAAATGTGACCATTGTGCTCATATCCAATGAGTTATTGCCCCTTCCTTTTACCTTTCCTGCACCGAGGGTCTACTAGAAACAACCTCTCTGCCTTCTTAAAGGTAGGGGTAAGGTCTGCGTACATACTACCCTCCCAAACCCCACTTGTGGGACTACATTGGGTTTGTTGTTGTTGTTGTTGTGCTCATATCTAATGACATTTGGTACCGCCTGGTTGGAAGAAAGAATTAAATAGTTTCTTGCTGATTTACTGATTAGTAGGCAAAACGTATTGTTTTGAGAGAGAGATTGTGGTATTGCAGGTTTGGTTCCATTTGCAATCGGTTCAGAAACTACCGGCTCTATCACCTATCCAGCTTCTCGATGTGGCGTGACAGCACTGCGGCCCACTTTTGGAGCTGTTGGTCGAACGGGTGTTATGAGCGTAGCTGAAAGCTTGGTACTCATTTTTCTTCCACAGGCAATTCCTTTTCCTGATATTAGTTTCGAGTAGAATACACTAAAATCTAACTTTTTGTCAGGATAAATTAGGCCCTTTTTGTAGAAATGCTGTGGATTGTGTGATTGTTCTGGATACCATTCGGGGAAAGGACCCAGATGATGTTTCATCCAGAGACATACCCTTTAGTGATCCATTCTCAGTTGATATCACAAAACTCACTGTTGGATATCTTGAGGATGCTGAGATGGAAGTAAGGGACTATTTTCCAGTATCGGAATGTGGCTGAGTTAATTAGGTTCTTTATCCCATTTGATGAATCTCTTAACTGGATTGAATTGTGTCGGGGATGACAGGTTGTTCATGTACTTCAATCAAAGGGAGTGAATATGGTCCCTTTTAACCTAAGTTACACTGTTGATTCTGCCCAAGGTATCGTCAATTTCACAATGGATGTTGAGATGCTGGCTCACTTTGACAAATGGCAGCGCTCAGATCTGGATGATGAATATGAAGCCCAAGATCAGTGGCCTATTGAACTTCGCCGAGCACGTGCCGTATCTGCGGTTGACTATCTTCAGGTAATTGTCTTGATCTACAAAGTTTCTCTCGGTTTAGATGTTTAAAATTGTACTTTGTTTGATTATCATTGATATAGGAAAAAACTGAATAATTAAATTCTTTCAGACATCTCAAAATCTGATTGGTTTAGTTATAGAACAGATGTCTTAATCCACTTTTAAAGAGTTGTCCAGAATTTGTAACACTAAGATCAATACTTGTATGATACTCCACCAGGCACAAAGAGCTAGAGGTAAATTGATTCAGCAAGTGAGAGAAAGTTTCAAAGTTGACGCGTTTATTGGAAATGCAACTGATTGGGAGAAAGTTTGTGTTGGCAATCTTGTGGGTATCCCAGTAGTAGTTGTTCCAACAGGATTTAAAAAGATATCTGATGCACCATCAAATGATACTCGCAGGAGAACAACAATCACTACAGGCATATATGCTCCTCCAGACCGTGATCATATCGTAAGTGTTCTTTAGTTATGATGCTCTTTTTAGTGTAGTAGTGATATGTAACGGACGTATGTGCTATATATTTTTTGGTCTTGGATAAATGTATCATCTCTGCTTTGCTGTTGAGTGGTGGGATTTCTTGGACTTAACAAGAGTTGGATGGCTTTGAACTTCTGATTGTGCTGCTTATTTATGATTTCATGCACTCGATAATTTTGTTTGTTTCGTTTATGTCCAGGCATTAGCTTTAGCAATGGCTTATCAATCAGTCACCAATCATCATAAACAGCGGCCACCAATTGATGACCTTGGGCCGAATGATTCTATACCAGACACACAAAAATCCCTGTAGCTGCAAGAAAACTAGGGGTTTGTAGGTTCTTGATTCTCTCAAGTGCTTGATATTGATCTGCATTTATGCTTGAACCTGTTGACTCAGACCAATTGTTGTAGTAGTTATAACTATGGAAAAACCGGATCACAGCTCTTGTTTGGGCCATGAAGAAGAGAGAGGTTCTGTCTACTGCTCCCTCTCATTGTGGCTATATTGTGTCTTTGTCTGTTTTATAGTTCTAAATTATGTGAAATTTCTGATTACATCTGACATATAAATCATTTTAACATTGTACTTATAATTGGATTTTTTTATCCAAGCTAGAGAGTATCTTGTCACAAAAACTGAGGATTTGAAATCTATCTATGTTATGGTGTTTTTGTTGTTTCTTTAAATGATATTTCAATCACCAAAATGTCGTGGGGATAATTCCATCTCCACCCCCTGCACCTGTGCTAGCCCCCAGGTATCACTAATAATTCTATTAGGGGTCCATCTCCTGGAAGGGGATTAAATGATTGCTTTATATCTATGTGTGTGTGTGGGTGGTTTTTTTTTTGGGGGTGGGGGGTGGGGGTGGGGGTGGGGGTGGGGTGGGGATCGGGATAAGATAAATTTAGAAACAACGTGATTCTTGTGATAGTATCATTTGTTTTCTTCCATTAAACAAAATGTGGCTGTTGCTGCTCTGAGGATCGCGATAGAGACAGTTTGCACATGTGCTGGAGCAATCCTTGTTTAAATCCACTTGAAGTTATTTTGTTTTAAGTATTGGAAGCTAAATGAAATTTCAGAAAGTATAAGGTTTGAAAACTTAAATGGATTTATCATTTCACGTTTAATAACTTTCTGCCGAAACCTTATCCTACTGCAGCACATATCGTCATTAGTCACTCTGCGGATAGTCTTTTTGCATAAATAATCCAACTTTAGTTTGTTGTGACGGAGATATGGTAGACTGAAGTCATGTGTCATTATTGAGGTATATTCACAAGATTATAAGGATATTTATTTACCAAAAGCGTGAAAGAATAGATATTTTCTATAATTAGCATGCTGTTTGGGCTTTCATTTCGCTGCTTAGTATAGCTCACTGCTTAATGATATGTCAATCAATAATGTCAAATGCCGTAGAAGCATTGCTTTGGATTTACTGGCGTTTATTTTGATTGGATAGGCGTGAACGTGATAAAGAAAAGGATTATGGTAATTTAATGTCACCATCGAATCAAATTAGTATTTAAGTTATACATATTGACATTTATTATTTTTTGTATTATCGGTATAATCTAACATATCATAGTAGGTTATTATCATTTGATCAACGTTACCAACAACTACTAGCTTATTTGTTAAAAAATAAATAGATACGTTTTTAAAGAAATGATTAATCAAATTGTATTAAGATACACTCAAATGAAAAACACTATTCATCAATCTTTCTGAATGGCCTATCTTTTCTCGGTACAAGTTAGCATAACATGCGCCTACCATGGGTAAGAGAACTCGTATCCCATCTCAAAAAGCTATAATGGTGTAGGAATCAGCTGCCTCACGGAGCAACGCTCAACGAGGAACCAAGGACAAAGTGGTTAGAGAGGAATCTTTGAGTGAAAATCAATTGAGCCCTAATTGCAATGGAACAGTAGCGGGAAATATCGCGAATGAAAAACTCAAGCAAGGTGAAGCAATACAGCTGTGGAATGAGGTACAACAAGCCTACATGAGTAGCGATTACTCTATGCATGTGAACAATGGAAGGAAATCATGGGCAGATGAAGTAGAACATGCGACAAAATTGCAGAGGAGAAAGAGTTCAGTGTGGGAAAACTTCGACATTATAATTTTTTTTAATGCTGGATACAAATTGGAGTATGTGCAGCCTAAATCCCAAGGTGAGTCAACTTTTGTGGAAATTGACCTAGATGATATAAGTACAGAAATAGAATATTGGGGGAATGCTCTCATTTGCTATGTCCCAGGTGCTACCCTCCGCTTGCAGTGATACAAGGGTATATTCAAATGCTATGGGGTAAGCTTGGTATTGAATGGATTGCAATGTTGAAAAATGAAGTAATTGTGGTACGATTTGATACAACAATGGGTAAGTAGGAGATTATTGAAGTGGCATCTATTACTTTGACAATAAATCATTTATTGTTAAGGCTTGGATACATGATTTGGAGTTCACTCGCGAGGAGCTCCTTACAGTACCAATCTGGATCAAATTGCTAGGCTTGGATTTCAAGTATTGGAGTCCAAGGGGACTGAGTAAGATAGGAACCTTGGTAGGTAAACCATTGATGGAGACTAGAACACAGAGAAGAGGAATGATCTTAACTTTGCTCGATTATTAGTTAAAGTGGAAATGGATGCTAAGCTATCCGATGTGGTGACGTTTAGGAATGAAAGGGGCAGACTAATAGAGCAAAGGATCAACTATGACTGGAAGCCAACCTTGTGTGCTCATTGTGCAAAATATAGGCATGATGAGGCAGTGTGTAGACTAAAAAACAAGGCACCAAACACTGATCAACAGGAAAAAAAAGGATCGGCCAAATGGTAAACAAGAGGAGCAGCAACTTCAAAATGAAAAATGGGAAAAGAAATAAGGATCAGCAGGTTTCCTCATCAACCACCATAATAAGGGAAACCTTGCCTAGTGCTACAGTAAGCAAACCATGACAATATGTAGCCAAAGGTCAGAATGCAGCAAAGGAAAGAGAGGAATCATCAAGGTGGCAAACACCACATAAATCTGGTAAGAGTGTTCCAAAGCAGAATGAGCAGCTAGAAAAGTCCAATTAATTTTAGATTTTACACAGACAAAAAATACTAAACCAAATAAAGGAGGGGATAGAAGTTGCTAATGTGGGTGGGCTAACTATTCCCTAAAGTGGTGATGGTTAATTTATTAAGTTCGAACATTAGGGGGCTTAATGCCCCTAATAAGCAAAAGGAGGTGAAACTCCTTTTGCATGATGAAGAGGTAGGTTTGATATGCTTGATGGAAACAACAATAAAAAAGGAAAAGAAGGATCAGATAGTAGATAAGTTGTTTATTGGATGGAAGCATATTACTAACTTGGATTGCCACTATAATGGTAGAATCTGGGTCACATGGAAGCCGGACTACTACCAAATTGGTCTGAAATGCAAGACAACTCAGTTGATAACATGTGAACTATTGAGTATCCAATTCCAACTATCCTTTGAGATAACATTTGTTTATGCTTTTAATACAAAAGAGGAGAGACGAAATCTGTGGGAGGACCTAGTCACTCATAGTAGGTCAAGCAGGATGCCATGGATGATATTGTGTGATTTTAACTCAGTATTAAATACTGAGGTTAGGATTGGAGGAAATGAAGTGACATGGGCTGATGTGATGAATTTTAATAATTGTGCAACGGAGTGTGGATTGTTGGAATTTCCTGCACATGGGAACAGGTACACTTGGAGTCAAAAAAAATTTCAAAGCATGACTAGATATTCATTAATGATGAATGGTTTGATACTATGCCTGATTATTTTTCTAGATCTTACCAGAAGGGATAAGTGATCATTGCCCGACAATAATATTTCTAACTACCGAGAGACAGAGAATTAGAAAATCCTTCCAATTTTTATAATGTATGGACTCTGCACCCACAATTCCTTCCCATAGTTAGTAAAGGTTGGAACTACAATGTTGAAGGGTGTAAAACGTTTGCAATAGTAAGGAAATTAAAAATGCTAAAGAGGAAACTCAAAGTCATAAACTATTAGGCATTTCATAATATAGTGACTGATGCAAATGAGGATAGGATAATACTAAAGCTTGCACAAGTTCAACTTCAGAGGTGCCCCTCCATTCTAGAGTATCAACAAGCAGAAAGTGCAGCTTATCAAAAGTTTAGGCAATCTTCATACTTAGCGAAAATGTACCCGCAACAAAGAAGCAATTGATGGTAGGCTAGAAACTCGTATTTTAGTCATAGTTTGCACTCTAATTAATGCATTTTACATGTGTCTGAGCTCAAATGATAGTGAATTGCATTTATTACGTGTTTTGTGCCTTGCAGGAAATGATTCCGAGCTATTCAGATAATAAGGAGTTAAATTGAATAAGTTAGAGCTTTGAAGTCTGAGTAAAAATCCAAGAAATTAAGTCGGGATCACGTTCGGGGCTCGAGGACCAAGTCTGGATGTCAAAAAATGAGGAAAAAAGATTACTCTAAGAAAAATACACTACTGCGCCGCGCCATGCGCCGCGGGGCATGGGGTGCTAGTGCATAATTCCTGCAGAGTGAAAAAAATAGGCCTCTGAACTTTCCCACTAATGCGGTGCAACACATGGTGCGCCACCAGCTGCGCTGCAGTATGTATTTTCTCGCCCAACTTTTTCCACTTCGATATGGAAAGGATAGTTTCGTCTGGGCCGTCCCTACATGGTATGAATACATCAAAAACACTAATTTTGTAGGACTTTTGACCTTGGAAGTATTTGTATTGCAACGTTAGATTGATATTTTCTTAGTCTTTAATTATATTTGTGATATCTTCCTCCATGATGGAGTAGTTTTCCTTATGTTTTGACGGATATGGTATTTTGATTGATATTTGTGGATTTTAACTCTAGTTCTTTGCTTGAATTCCTTTACGGAGCTTTGAATTATTTGCCTTTATTCACCAGTTTATTTAATCGAAAGAGGAATATTGTGGTGATTATGTTGCATTATTTTGTTTGGTTTAATTCACTGATTCTCTTAAGTAATCAAAAGAGTTTGTTGAATTGTCGATTAAATCAAGTTAGGATAATATTGGAGAGACGTTTTCCTGAAGACCAATCCATTAATGCATGCTTGCGAATTTTCATAGTGCTTATATTAGTTCACCTCGTAGAGTTAAGATTTAATCGAGAGATGAGTCGTGACTACACATTTGAACTAATCATCAAGTGAATTCGTGAGAATCATTAGAACATTAGAGTGAATTGAACTAGAGTTGGATCCCAAATAGCTATCTTGCACTTATGCTGTAACGACCCTTATTTATCCCATTAATTTTTCAGTGTTGCTCAACTCTTGTCTTCCAGTGATCAATTATTAATTATTTTAGTTTAATAGTAAATTTTATTTATTAATCGTCCCAACAACATGTTAATCATCCCGAATAGCGTTAAGCTAGAAATTACTTGGACATTGTTTAAATCCAATCCCTCTGAAGACA